GGGCACGAGCAGTCCTTGGTGACGGGGAACTCTGGCGCGCGTATCGCGGGGGGTGTGGTCGGGATAGTCTCTGCATAAGGAGGAGGGAAAAGGAAGGGCAGATCCCTGTCTCGGCGCTTGGGGCTTGGTCAAGGAAGCAGAGGCTGGAGGAGGGAGGGCGGGGCAGAGGGAGGGAATGGAAGGAGGGGGCACTGGTTTGAGAGAAGGCGAGGGAGGAAGGGATGGGGGCGCAGCTTTTTTACGGAAAGTAGAAATGCCAGCAGGTACCCGCGCTGTCCCTCTCCCACGTTTCTTTCCTTCCGATGTTTCTCGACCCTCGGCCACCCATGAGCCGCCCAACCGTCATCGTCCAGCAGCAAAGAATAGGTCGACTGGCAATCGATCATCGGGCCAAAATTAGATGTTGCGTTCCAGCGAAGTCTATTATTATTCGTGCTTGGACGTTTTTAAGGGGGTCAAGTATTCCACGGTAATGGACATCCTGTCCGCGTATCACCAGATAGATATTGAGGCAGACTCGATAGAGCAAACGGCCTTGGTGTGTATACTCGGTCGGTACGAGTTTCTACGCGCAAGCTTGGGGTCGAAAAAGACTACCCGGATTTTCCACGTGAGTCCTCGAAATACGAGGTCGGCTAATCGCCTCCACAATCCTGGCAGGTTTCTCATACCGAACATTGCTCTGCGGAACTCGTACTCTCTAAACTTGCGAACGAACGCCGTCTTTTCCACCGGATCCGCCTCGCCCTCTGTCTCATGATACGCGAGCAGGATGCCCGTCACCGCAAAGTATCGAGCCCCGTTGAACACGTCCAAGCACGAATCTAGCGACTATGTCGGGTGATGGACGTCGCTGTCACGCACAACCTCATTCAACGCCCGATGATCGGTGGCCGGTAAAGCTTTTCCTTTCTGCTGGGCGATGACGATCGAGGCGGCCCATGGGGAGGCCGAGGGCCTTTTGTCCGGCGTCCGTGCTCAGGTGTCTCTCAGACTCTCGACGACTTGCCGCGAGCCTGGCATTGCCGCCTCCACCCAACCCCGTCCAGGAGCATCAATCAACGCCCATGTCCCTTCTCCTATGTCTCGGCTGGCGGCTCCTCATCCTTTCTCGGTTGTCTTCCTTTTCTTCTGTGCGCTCGGGTAATCCCTGCCTCCATTCTGACCTCCGCCGCTCCTGTCCCTCCATGGTCACCACTCCCTTCTTCCCGCCCCGGAAACTGTAACTCCCCATCCTTTCCCCACATCACCACCGGCTTTGTCTTTGATCCTGTGTCTGAATTTGCATGCTGGCTGACGACAACCACCGGCATTCGTCGCTGTTCTTCTTCATGTCGTTGCATTTCTTCCAGCATCATCATTTCGTCCTGAGGTTGAAGAAGAAATATGGCCAAACGAAATTAGACTAGTGGAGGACGAGAAACGTTCACACGTGTGATGAAACTAATGAGTCCGTAGACTAAAGAAAAACCATGAATCAGGCACTTCGCGTGGTTCATTTTACCTCATGCCGATGCCACCGGCTCAACCGCCGCGTGACTGCGTACGTCCGCCTGTCTACTTTCCTCGTCATTTCGAAAGTAGGATGGGACAGCAAGGCCGATGGAGGGAGTGGAAAGGGTTGAGGCGTATGCCTATCGAAGATGGTTCGAAAGACTTTAGAACGGGGGGGGAAGCGTGATTGCATAAGAGTGATAGAGGCCGGGCCAGACTATAACCTCCTGCGGCTTCAAGGTCGTCTGCAAAAATATGTGCTTAATCCAGTTGAAAGCGAGATTATCTCTCGAGCCAATGCAAAAGCCGTTGAAAAGGATGTAGCTATACTTGTACCGGCTGTGGGTGGTGGTAGTAGTGTGTGTTATTTGTCTGTGCCTCAGGAATAGAAGGACTCCTACATGGTAGTCAAGTGGGGGGCGTGTCGGTCAGTTCCGCAATCCCCGTCTGCTCTCTACCCTGCCATTGATAATGAACGCGCAACGCCACCGGGACATGCTACCGTGACGAGGGTTAATTTTGGTGCACATACAATGCTTTTGCTGGTCATTTGCGGGGTGTGATCACCCCATCGAGGACAGCTACAGTCTTCTCCACTGTCAACTGCCTGCGCCAAGGCGGGCGCACTTGTTCGTCCCGCCCCCTGGTTCTGGTTTTCACGTCGAGGTCGGCTCAAAGAGGAAGTAACGCAAAGATCTAAACACTATATGTGGAAGATGGGCGGTTTCTAGAAATGGATCGGTGGGAATTCATCATTACCGACGTCAACATAAAGTTTTCCCCTACTAATACTTCAAACCTCCTTCTTCCTAGGTACCTCCTGCTTTTTCTTTGTGTAGGGTGGCATCATGGATCAGCAGGCGATGCGAGAGGCACGGCTCCGAGCATTGGGACAGCCCAATGGTGATGGTCGAGATACAGAAGAAAAATCGGCTGAAGTCGGACAGGCATCGCTTTCAGGATCGATGGCAAGGTCTGTAGTTCAGGCATATTGCACTTGCTCCCTGCTTCTACTACCATTTCCTTGCATGTTGGATCTACCTGTATGCTCCATTCATGCCTGTGTGTGTCTCAATAAAGAAGTCCTCACGATTTTCCTCCTTCCATCTCCCGTGTCTACCCTGCTTCCCTCCCCATCGCGTCCTCAGTCCACGGGAGAGGGAGGAAGAGGGGTGGATGGTCGTTGACACCCCCGACTGCCCCGCACCCGCTTCTCCAACCGCTGCCACTACTACCGCTAGCCCCGACAGCGACAGCGGCAGCCTTTTATCGCAACCTCTCTCTGCCCATGACACGGACGCCCTCCGCGGGGTTCGTTTCTCATCCCCGCTCTCCCTCCCTCCTTCCCTCCTTCCCTCCTTCCCTCCTTCCCTCCCTCCCTCTTTCCCTCCTTCCCTCCTTCCCTCTTTCCCTCTCTCCCTCCTTCCCTCCTTCCCTCCTTCCCTCCTTCCCTCCTTT